ATAAAAAATAAAAATAATTGATGTGTTTGATCAAAGAACATGAATGGTCTAGTAATAGGAATTATTCGAAGTCATGATATATATACATTAGCTTGAATTTCAATCTCGAAAGACAAATATCTAGACTAATATATTTTACAAGCTAGCCGATGGAATTCCTCAATTTTTGTCTTTCGAGAGCCACTATTTTCAACATTATCATATGTATCGATTTTATTTTCAATTTGCTCTATAATTAACAGATGTCTATCGATTTTGTCGTTCATATATTATCATAGTGATTATCGGAGAGATTAACTATCTCTTTCTCTCATTGTATTTATGGCAATGATCGTAGCCTTGTACATATTAAGTATAGAAAACATCAAAAACTTTCTTGTATTACTACACGTTTTACCTTAAACACAACTTGTTTTGTTAAAATCAAATTCACAAGGAAAGACAGGCAGACCACTCGTGATAAACATAAGTTGCTAAAAACAGAAAGTGGGGTATGAATGACTTTGTATTATCATAAATTTAAAAGTGTCTATGTTAAATGTACACATGATAAAAATACAACATTTTCAAGTCTTTGTTTTGACTAAAGCTCCAAATTAATAGCAAGTTGGCAGTGGCTGATTTGCAAGTTGTAGCCGACGCCGTACTTTTCCGCCGCCCTCTCTGCACTCCACCAAAAAAATGTTGTTTTTCTCACTCCCCCACACCCAACTAGGGGAGTGAGACTTAAAAAAACGTGGTGCATTAATTGGGGTTGTTCCTTATTTAATCAGACGTCTTGAATTTAATTTTTAGATATGAAATTTTTTTAGTAGGAAACGTTATAATACGATTATGAAATAGTCGGACTTCAATGATAGTAACGATCATTGAGTGGAAAACTAAAAAAAATACTAGTAAAGGAAGAGCGTAGTTTATAATTTACCAACTTTTATATAGGTTTGTTTGCAACAAATTTTAAACATATGGAAAATAAATAAACCACAAAAATAAAATTTGAAGAAACATAATTTTATTCATCAAGATAGCGAGTACAATTCTGTTCCTCCCTTGATTCTCCTCTCCTAAGATTTATCCATGATTCGAGGGCCGTTAGTGGCGTATTTCTCGAACTAGGATGATTTAAATTTGACCTCTATATGAATATTTCATGTCTTTTGTGGAATATATCGAGGTCTTGATCAAGACGAGGCTTGAAGTACTCATTCTTCCACCTTTGCAGCTTCAAATTTTCAGATTTGATTTAAGAGAGAAGAGATGAAGGGTAGATTTGGTCCCACTGGGCGTGCCAATTTGTTTGCAACAAATTTTAAACATATGGAAAATAAATAAACCACAAAAATAAAATCTGAAGAAACATAATTTTATTCATCAAGATAGCGGGTACAATTTTGTTCCTCCCTTGATTCTCATCTCCTAAGATTTATCCATATTTCGAGGGACGTTAGTGGCGTATTTCTCGAACTAGGATGATTTAGATTTGACCTCTATAAGAATATTTCATGTCTTTTGTGGAATATATCGAGGTCTTGATCTCTTTATGGAATTTTTTAGATGTCTTTTAAGAGAATTTAGTACCCTTTATATAGACATAAACTAGAGTTTAGGGTTGAGTAGCCTTTAAGAATCCTAATTTGAGTTGAACACAATTAGTAGAGTCTCAACTCTAATTGAACACATCTTATAGAGTCCCACAAAATTTCAATGTCTACAAGGTTCTATATTTCTATTAAGAAATTCATAAAATATATATATAGTAAAACAGAGTGTTTTGTTGATGTATGCATCAGCAAGAGTATTTTCAGAAAAAGTTTTAAGAAAATAATTTTTTTTGTTTTATTTTAATTTAATTAGTGTACCATTTTTATGAAATTATAGGACTTATTTTAGTGTACCATTTTACTTATAGTTTTATTACTTTAAATGTTGTTAATATTTGTATAGATTTTGTAACTATTTTGAGTAAGAATTCAACAATTAATAGAAAACTATTTTAATTATGAATATCCCTATAAACCTCTTCACATTAGATTTGCAAGATAAAAGAGTGAAACGATAATACTACACAAATATATTTATGTTAGAACAAAAAATTAGAATTACCACTTTAAAAAATAAATCTTTTTTTAAGAACTCAATTAATTATTATATATTTATTAAATACTGTATAAAATTATAAATTTGGGATCAGTCAATCTTACCTTCATGGATATCTTAATTATTGTAATTTATTATGATCTTCTTAACCTATGGATCCCCATAACCCTATCTAGCTCATAGCCTTATTCTATTAAACATTGATACATACTTCTTTCGTTTCTTTTTATATGTCATCCTAATTATAAATAGTTGTCAATAATACTTGTCATTTTATAAATCAATACATGAATTACAATATTCTTCCTATTTTACCCTTGTGAGTTATTAGCCTTAAAAATATATATTTGACCAATTGACGTAGAAAAACTAAGTGAATCATTCATATTCATTGATTAAAAATTGACTTCAAAAAAATATTAAATAAGAATAGAATAGTAAACTTACTTAATTTTATAATGCACGTGAAATTAAAAATGATAACATATAAAATAGGACCGGGGAGTAACACAACTGGACCAATTTATTAATGATGTTTATGTCCTCAGACACGGCCTGCATTTCGAGATTTTAGTGGGGTAGTAAAATACTATATATAATACGTTAAAATATGTCATTGATATATCCTAGAATGACTTGTAGTTTTCTCCAACTAGAATAATGTTAGCAAAGTTGAAAAGTTGATATAATTGGTCTAATGTATACGATAATGACGGCTTGATTTTAATATAATCGTTCCCATGTGAATGAAGAAAATATAAATGTTGAATACTACATTTATTAGTAAATTTCATTAAGAGGAAGAATTATAATATGTTGCTAATTAAATACATAATAAAATGTTCTCCTATTTATTAGACATATTTTTCACCTCATATTTTAGAAGATAATTTGTGCATGTTTACGAATATCCACTGTCTTGTCTTTTAATTATATATACGTATCAATTAATTGAAATATGTAATGACATTTTACGATTTAGTGAGCTATGTTAATGTGTATAAATTCTTTTAAGAAAAAGTGACATATTTTAAGTGATTACTAATCTATATAATGGATACTTGAAAAAACTTTGAAAATATTTTTGTAAGGGCGCGTATGATATGGAGAATGCTTTTTTAATTTTTTTCATGTTTAGTTGATCAAAGTATTTAGAAAAATATTTTCCCGAAGAAAAAACAAGTTATTTAAAAGAGAGAGACTTTATTAGTGAAAGTAAAAAAAAAAATATTTGCTTAAATTATTATTAGATAGATTACTTAAATGAACAGAACTGATCGATGTATACTCCTAAATAAGAGAAAACTATAAAAGGAGAACAACGATTTTGGTTAGGAACTTTGCTAAAAAAAGAAGATGCTATTAAATTGGATTGAATGATTTGAATTTGGTTGATTACGAATACCTAATGCCACGCTTAGAAATTATTCTAAATGGGAAAGGCATAAATTTCTCCCTGAACTTGTATCGAAAAGTCAGTTACATGTTCGAACTATTGTGGCGATCTATTACACACCTAATCTTGTTCAAAGTGATATTAATACCTCATTCCGAAGACAATCTCAGTTTTGTGTTAAAAAAATGTTGTACACGCGTTTTCACACATAAATAATATTATTTAAAAAAATTTAAACCTTTTTCCTTGATTTTTTTTTTAACTTTTGCACAAAATTTAAAACTTGAGCATCTTCCTTCTCTCACCATACATATCTCTTTTTAAAATATATTTCTTCTTTCTTCTCCATTATTCATAAATTGAAGGAAAAGATAAAAACTTGAAGAGAAAATAGGAGTCAATAAGTTGATTATGAAGTATAGAGATGTTGGCAGTGGTGATAGGCGATGGGCAACACCATTATGACCGATGGAACAAAAAAATTTAAGATCTGTAAAATTCTTTAAAAATCTTGATAAGTATGTATGTAATTCATTAGTATTTTTTGTGTGTAATTTTAATTAATCAAATATGCTATTGATGATATGAGACAAAAAAATAACATTGTGGTGGTTGTTGGTAGTTCTCCGGCGAGAATAGAAAAGACAAAGATTGAGAAATCATTTTATTCGGTGAACTTTTGAAAAATTTAGACAATATAATTATGAATTTTATGCATAAATGTCAATGAATTTTCAATAGAAATCACTATCTTTCTCATGAATCTTTTTCAGTGATCTTCTCCGGTGAATCTTCCGGCAAGTTCAAACGGAAAAATCATGAACTTTAAGTTGAAAATTATTGACTTTTTGATGAAAGTCATCATCTTCTCCACCCCTTCTATTTTTAAGAGTTCATTTTTATGGTAGAGTGTTGAATGTGTTTTCATCAAACAATCAATGTTGACAAATGCCGACTCCCTAAGAAGAAGAAGAAGAACAACAACAACTCAAAATAAAGAAAAATGAAAAAGCTTTAAAGAAATTGGGGCCACCAATAAAAAGATTAAAAATAATAATATTAATAATTAATATATTAAAAATTATAATACATAATTATATGACAAATAAAATAGTGCCATGTGTTGAAATTCGTCATTTTAACATATAATTTTTTCTTCTCACGCACCTTAAGGAAGGTGAAGACACTCTCTTTGTCATGTCACGTTCTAAGGGGGTATTAATATCACTTTGAACAAAACTAGGTGTGTAATAGATCGTCACAATAGTTTGAGCGTGTAACTGACTTTTCGACACAAATTTATGCCTTTTCCCTATTCTAAATACATCTAGATTACTCATATCTTCTACTATCATTATGCTAGAATATTCGATCTAGATATTTCTTAAATGAACAAATATTAAAGATTATTACAATATAACTTTCTAAAAACTCTCCTAAATATCTACAATAATTAACTTTAATTTTTCACAAAATACATAAACCTAGCAGAAAATAAATAAATAATTTATCTTATGTGTTGTCTATGCTTCTTATGACTCTTTGCCCTCAAAAACCTTCTGAAATGTTCTTTCCTTTGATCCCTTTTTGACCTTTTTCTCCACTCATTTTTTCTTTGATATAATTCACCTTCTTCTTCAATATCTCTTATAATTTGATGTCTTCTACTTCTTGTCTTTTTTTGTTTGAAGCATAAAAAATTGCAACAACAATCTAAAACTGAAAAACAAGTATACAAACATGTCCATGTGGATCTACAAAGCATGTGACAAATGCACCCATATATGCCCAACTTGTATTGCAAATACAAGAACAAGAGAGCTGAAAAAACCACAAAATTAGGAGTACTAAATATAAATGCAATATGTAATTGTATTTTTTAAAATATCAATATGAATGACCATATGTTATTGCACCCTTTTTATTACGTGATGGTAATTGACTTGACATGAAATTTAAGATAGAAAAATGGTATTGTTGGAACTTGCGTTAATAGAAAATAATACTTTTGAATAGATTATTCAGTAAAAAATCTATCGAAAATATGAGATTTCTGATGAGAAGTCCGTCGGAAACAGTTGCAATGAAGGAAATGTTGACTTAATTTCTTGTAGTGTTGATATTAAATATGCGTGATATTAATGTAGCTATCACTTTAACAAAAACAACTTTTAGCGGCAATAGATATACACATTAATAAATAACATTAAAGTTTTTATCAGCATTAGTTAATTGTCATTGGGTCTAATGTTGATATAAGTTTTAGGGACATTTACAAAGAGTGTTAATTGTCGCTAAAAATACATATTTAACTACAGTTAAGCTATTATCATTAATTAATTGGCACTAAAAATTATTTTTGAGGTAGTGTATAGAGCATCTCGTTAAAGGTAAAACTGAACATCTAAAGTTAATGAGATTTTAAATCTAGAATTATGATTCTTTGATTTTAACAGATTAGAAAATAAAAGAGTGTCATATAAAACAAAACATCTCAAAAAAACTCACCAAAGTATGACAGAATTGAGAGCATAGCCAGTTTGAGCAAATGAGAAATGCAAAAGTTCTCTATGTAACACGACAAATCCCATGTTGGACCGCATACTTTGCTGAAAAAACAAATAGTATTATCACAAATTATTTCTTCATAAGGAAAAAACAAATATGTCGAACAAGAGTATCGCCTAGTAATCAATTGAGTGAATTGAGAATCACAAAGTCTCTGATTTAAAGTTCAACAGGGGCAAAACCACTAGGTGCTTATATTTATTCTTATTTGTTCAAAGCCTTTGTGGACAGAGTTATCAATATAAGTAGCATGTACCCCATGGAATTAATCAACGACTGTGAGAGTTATTCATAAAATTAGTCGAGATGTGCGCAAACTAATCCAGAGACCTTGATTAAGAAGAAGAAAAAACAAATATGTACACATAATTCTTAACCCATTTCATAAATCACTAGACCACACTACCCTCGGATGCTTCTTGAAATATATAGATTGACACATAAAAATTGGAATTCACTCAATTCATGCCAAAACTCCTTCAAAGTCAAGAGCAACTACCAGATAAACATGGATTAAATTAAAATATGTCACATAATAGGGGACCTTTTATAGATAAGATACTAACAAATCCATTTTGAGACTAGAAGAAAACCTAATGTGTGTACACATTTTGAATTTAGCAATATGTACTTACAAATAAAATCATATACTACAGTATTATTTTTATTGTAAACAGCGGCTAATTAAAATTAAGCAAGAGATTAGGTAAATACCTGCAGGATTTTCCAGCTAAAAAATCAAATGGATGACCAAAAAATTTTCCTAAAATTGCACCAAACCTTGATAACAATGAACCAATTACATTGTCCATCTTATAAACCAATGCTTAATTAAGTAGTTTCCACCAAGGGAAAACTCCTTAATTACATTCTCATACACATGACTTCCATTTTCTGCAAAACATAAAAAAATAATTCAGAAAACAACAAAGGGTACTATGAGAGTAGCAATTCAATCTGGTATCTGTGTTGAAGTTCGATTAAATCCAAATTCACTCTCGTATTAAGTGTAAAATGTTCCCTAACAATAACAACTCCATACCAATCGAGTTACGCTCGCAATTTATGTAAATGTTAAAAAGAAAAAACAGATACATGTATGTTCTTTAGGGAAAAATTGGGACTTACAGTTTACAAGTTATGAAATTACAGAAGAAAGTGAGTTTTTTAAAATTGCCCGTTTAAAAGCGGTTCAGCATTTGAAGTCCATGGGCTTTATCAAACTGAACAGACAGTGGGAATGGGCTTTTAAATTTTGGGATTTTGAAGGCAACAAGGCCCAATAATGTTCCAAAGGCCCAATGAAGAGTATAAGTTAGGACATATTTATACAAGGCATAATACATAAATATGCCCTTTAACTTGACCTCATTTCACATTTATACCCTCCAACTTTGGGTGTGCACAAATAGACACTTAAACTTGTATAAAATTGAACAAGTAGACACATGAGTCATATGTGGCATAAAACACATAGGACACCACGTAGGACGCAAATTGCCATGTAGGATGCCACTTAGGACATGTGTGACTATTTGTTCAATTTTATACAAGTTTAAGTGTTTACTTGTGCACACTCAAAGTTGAAGGACATAAATATAAAATGAGGCAAAGTTAAAGGGCATATTTAAGTATTATGCCTTTATACAATTTATACTCCGTTTGGTATAACTTGTAGATGTTGTATTCGTCGAAGTAAATAATCTAAATGTCATGTATTTATAGAATAAGTGCCAATTTTGTTTGTTGATAATTTTTTATGGGAACTTACATAAATTCACTAGTTTGGGATCTAATTACTTAGATACACTCTACTTTGCAATATTACATATTTTATCATATTTTTGTGCATCGAGATACATTTAGATACGTCCAAATACATGTATCTGCGGATACATGGAGTCTAAATTAAGTGTAATTTGCTCTAGATACATTGTATCCAAGTGGATTCACATGTAGCTGGGATAGATAACAAGTCTCGCTTGCCTCCCTCGCCTCTCTCCCCATTACGCTCGCCACTCTTGCATCTAGTATCTCAAATACATGCAAATCACATTAGATACATATGAATACATGTATCAAGTGTGTATCTTGTGTGATTCGAATGTATCTGAGATACATACGAATCTCGCTCGTTTCCTTCCCCATCTCGCTCGCCTCTCCCTATTTTAGTGTATCTATTAGCAAAAATACATGTCTCTAAGAGTATCTTTTTCAATATATGATAATAAAAAAAAAATTAGTGGTAAAATCCGTAATATTTTGAAAATATAAGTAATAATAGTAAATATGATACTAAAATATGTGTAATTATGTAAAAAAAAAAACCAATTACTGGCGCATAATTAATCAATAACGCCATGAATAATCATTTGTTAAATTTATTTGTAAATTGTCAATACCATCTTTCTTTCTTGTCAATTCAGTATATATTACAAATATTCATAATTGTGGGGCGGCGATGACAACAATTATTAATAAGTATGCGGCATTAGTGGTTGGCATGACACTTGAAAGTGGAAGGAATAATCGGGATCGCGCTCCGAATATGATTTTTTTATCTCCCTCCTAACATGATTTTCTCGATATGTAGGCTCGAATGTGAAATCTCTAGTTAAGAATGATGAAACTGTCCTACTACCACATCACAAGTCATATTGATTTTGAATTTTAATTAAGACTCCTATAAATTTCAAATTGTCTTGTATGGTTAACTTAATTTTCTTCAACTAATCTTAGCTATTAAAACGCTAGTATATTTTAGACCAACCATCCATTCTAAAATTAGACTTGCAATTAATTATTAATTAATCATACTTTCTCTCTCTATCTTTCTCTGTGTAATTTTTTCTTCAATTTATTTTCTTCCATGGCAGATCATTCACGGGCCACATCTCATGAGTTTTGCGGCAGTTTTGGATTTGGAAGTGTTTGTAAAGTTTGCAAATCTTTTGTCTCCATTTTATCTCCTAAGAAAACACATCATAAGCCTAAATCCAATATCCTTCAAGATAATCATCACAAGGTATTTATTTTCAATTTTAACACAATATTGTAAATGTTAATTTATTTTTTTATAGCAAGGAATTTTTATTTTATTTTTTGGCTTAAGAATTGGAAAATAATGGTTCTAATCATCATTTGTTAGAAACTTAAATTAGACATGTGAAATCAAGAGAGATAGTATACTATTAATCAAACAACAATAATTTGATTTATTTTTTTTTCATATGTTTGAAAAAAATCCTAAATTGTCATGTTGGAAAAAAAAACGTTTTGATACATGAACGCATATGAAGAATGATTCAGGATTTAGATGTTGAGTCTATGTTGCATTAATTCATTCATGACATTGCGTTACATGTAGATGTTAACATAAGGTATTTTTTTTATAATCAAATTGCAGGTTAGTGTAAAGAAAAGTAGTGTTGATGAAGACATAGATGATGATGAACAATTTACATATAAGCTCAATGAAGGACTTAACAAAAAACACCAAACATTACTACTACACAAGTTCTCCTAAATCAAGTCCTCCCCATTCAAGAAGCACTAGCCCATCTCGACTCTCCAGGACAATTTCTCGAATTTTTCGAGCCACGAGCGTGAAAAATCACAACCATAATGGTGGTGGTGGTGGTGGTGGTGGTGGACCAGCATTAGCGAGCACATTATCGCGTAATGCTAGTAGTCATGTTGACTTAACTAGTCATCATGCAGCTTCGAAATCCTTTTCACGGAGCGTGAGCCTAAGGAATGGTGGTGCGGAAGCACCCGCACCAGCAGCCTCAACAACATTACCAGCCTCGTTTTCGCGTAATACAAGCCGGAAGAGCTCAACTCCGATAATGTTTTCAAGCTCAACTGGATTGGTAAAGCCACCACCAACGGAAAAGACACTTGAGTGCACCTTAGATGAGTTGTGCTTTGGATGTGTAAAGAAGATGAAAGTCACAATGACAGATAATGGGTAAGGACTTACTACTCTTTTATGATATCAATTTTTAATGATATTAGTTACTCTCCGTTTCAATTTGTTTGTCATAGTTTGACTAGTATCGAAGGTGAAATTCACAAATAGACACTTTTCAGTGCCTGCAGTTAGAAAACAGCTATTGTCATGGTGTTTCAAATTCCACAAGTGTAACTCCGTCATCTCCATGATATTGTCACGAAGTTTCACCTCTAGAATTTGAAGCTTAATCACAAAGACTATCTTTCAGAGATAGAGAGCAACAAAGTGGGCTAGTAAACGTTATTTCCGCTAACATTTGCTTGTTTGACTATAAAAGCTTCTCATTAAAAAGAATAAAAAAATACAACCTAGTCCTTTTGGCCATCTAGTTTACAAAATATGTACACAGTGTATACTTCACACTAATTTACTTATACATAAAGATACACAACATACACATATCATATACAACCGAGTTATACGCATAGTGTATACTTGGGTCATATTTGGTAAACTAGATGGGTAAATGATATATATTGGCAACTCTCCCTTCAAAAAATATAGAATACATTTATTTGATTCCATTTTTTACATTAGCTAGCTCTGTTCTTTTCTTACAGGTTAACAGAAGAAGAGGAAGTACTAACAATCAAAGTGAAGCCAGGATGGACAAAAGGGACAAAGATAACATTTGAAGGCAAGGGTAATGAGAGACCAGGCACTTCAGCAGCAGATGTAATCTTCGTGATCGCGGAGAAAAAACACCCCCTATTCAAGAGAGACGGCGACAATGTGGAGTTGGCAGTAGAAATCCCATTGGTAAAAGCTCTTACAGGTTGCACTATTTCCATACCTTTATTGGGTGGGGAGAAGATGAGTTTAACGATCGATGATATTATATGTCCTGGTTATGAAAAGATTATAGAAGGACAGGGGATGCCTAAACCCAAAGAGGAAGGGAACAGAGGGAACTTGATTGTCACTTTCTTAGTAGCATTTCCAACTGAAATTGCTGAGGAACAAAGGTCTGATATAGTCAGGATTTTACAAGATTGCTGTTGAGGGAACTGATTTGGTCATTTCATCCTCTTATCAGATGTACCAAAACAGGGTTTAGAGATTGATGTAGGTTGTTAAAATGTATGTTTCATTTACGGAACTAGTTCACTTTGAACCATTCATCACCAACTATTCAAAAGTCTCAAGTAGGAGTGGCAAACGGATGGGTCAAAAACGGATATAATATTCGATTAGAAGTTAATTAGGATAGCCAGTTAGCATTAGCACACTCCTTGAAAAGCATTAGATGACTAACCACAAGTAAAAATCCTATTATTAATAACAATTAGATAATGTTAAACATTTATACAAGAAAAAACAAATAGTATTATAGTAACATCGCGAGACATGAAATTTATAAAAGGAGTGACTTGAAAATGTGAAGGTAATTTATGCCTCAAGGGTAGAAACACTGTGATCAGCTACTTACAAGTGTAGTAGTGGGCTCACACCAGAAATCCCAGATTCAAATTTTGAATGGAACTTTTACCACCCAATCAATGCACGAATGAGACCGAGTATATCACCATTTAACAGGGCTTTGAGAAATCGCGCCTTGCCAGTTGTATAAGGTGGATATCTTGCAGGTACATCCCCAGCAAAACTGCGACGCAGAACTGCCTTCTTGTGGCTGAAAGAATCAAACGAGAATTTGCCATGACATGAACCCATTCCACTTTCCCCGACTCCTCCAAATGGAAGAGTGGAAAGCGCAACCTGCATGATAAAAATATACAGTTCATCATTAGATTTGATACGTGTATTGCATCATATATGTTAGATAAAACAACGAAATCC